ATTAGCTTTTTTTAACATGTTCTTAAAATTTCTTGCCATTTTATAACTCCAATCAACTTGTACATCGTAAAAATATTGGAAAAAAACTATTCCACTTAAATGCTTTGATAATCTTGTCATAAGTATGCCCTTTTTAGTAAATTTCTGTAAATCACCTGAATTCAGTAATTTAGGACTATTTCTGTTTTTTATAAATGTTTGTATATATTTTATATTATTATACATATTTGCATCTAAAATTCTCATTGATTCTGTATTTTGATGTTCAAACTCCAATATATGAATATTGAATACATTATTCCTATCACAGTTGATAGCATCTTGTTGTAAAATTTTCAGAACATAATCATGAGTTTCTTCAATAGTTTTATACCGGCCATCTTTTCTATCTATGTCTAGTTTATTATTTGGTCCAAATAAGCTACTTAAATAAAGATTTAATAGCCACAAGGATCCAATATTCTTTTTATCTTTGTCGTACAATGTACATATTTGTGTATTGGTAATTTTGACATATCTACTTATGTTATCTATTGCGATTATCAAACTTAAATCTGTATTTTTATATAGTAGTATCTAAATAGCGGGTTCTAGGGATCAAAGGATGCCGCCATGGTAATTAGTGTCATACGTCATCAAAAAGTAATAAATTAAGAGTGTTAATGGGTAATTAAATGGTTAATTAAGGTCAATCGTAATTGTTAAAGTCGTAAATCAAGTGTGTTATTGTTAAAATGCAATNCGTAAATCAAGTGTGTTATTGTTAAAATTGCGATAATAATGTGGGTTGGCGGAGGGTAGGTGGTCAGCTGACTCGGCGTTACGTCGTTGTCGGTGTGACGTATGCAGCAACGCGTGCCCCTCAATCAGGAGCATCACAGGTGTTACGTAATATAATCGCCCTTAAGGTCATCACGTCACATACAATAATGTTAAAGACTCTGCCCCTGCCTACACCCTCCCACCTAGGAGTTGTACGTCAAACGGTCGCGCGTTATATTGTGTCATCGCAACAGCCGCCGCCGCCGTCGTCGTCGACGTCATCGACGGGGTATAAACCGTAGACGTGTAACCGCCCTGATGACGGTGTCGGTCGGAGGTGTGAATCGCAACGTTTGTATCTTTAGCGCGATAAAAATACGATGTACGCATGTCGAGGTGGTGATTAGCTTATTCCTAAGGTGCACGATGTATCGAATATGATAAATCAAAATTAACCGTACAGTATCGCCAATTATTTTCATTTTAGATAAAAATTGTACGTAAAATGTTGATTTTGGGTAATTTGTTATATATATACTGAATGTGCATGCTCAGTTGTGAAGCGAATATATTACGAACTTTTGGATTCAATTGAAACAATTGAAAAAACGGTGAATGCGAATCGCAGCGATAGTAACGCCTATTGGACCTTGAGACTTTAATCACAATGGCTACACCAAGGTGTAAATTCAATAAAATCAACGACTTGATCGATTCATCAATATATAGCATTTCACAAATGTCTCGTGTATACATTGGTCTGGATCCTGACGATTCATTTTGGCCAAAAATATCTCGAAAACTATTTTCAATTATCCACACATGAAAGTATGTTAAAAAATATTTGATTTTTTCATCTTAACTCTAATACTTATAAAAATTTCAGCACTTGTATTACTTTTCCGATCAGGTAGAATTGGCTACAAATAGATCATTTTTAGGTGTAGATGCTTTGCCGAAAATTGACAAGAAAGACCTCCTATGTGTGACATTTCCAGTCAAATTCAAGGATAATCAAAATGAAATAACATAAAAAACAACAAATTTGCAAAATAACTATGTTTTTATTAATAAAAATTATATATTTATACATTTTTTTTGTTTCTATACTATACTGTAAATTATACAATAATAAAAATATATTTGTATATACATTAGAGTTTTCGTACTTCACCCGTAAATGCGTTGTATTCCATTTGACAATCGTGAATAATTACACAATACAATGATGTTTTATCGGGAAACTGTTTAGAGCATTCGAAATCCAAACGTAGATCAACCGTTGAAGTCTTGACGGTATCGTTTTGTTTAGAACAATCGATCACAACTATGGGTCCACGTTTTTTGTAATCTATATAATCTAGTAGAGGGTATNGGGTCCACGTTTTTTGTAATTTATATAATCTAGTAGAGGGTACGGATCTTTACGACCGTAGTACATTGTTTGGAATTGAGTGTACGAGTTGTAGAAGGTTGTATACTTGTTGTTGTCGAAATCGGCGTTTTGGTTCTCGTATGGGTATTCGTCCGCATTCAGATACGCTTTGACGTTTCTCAATGAACAGTGATCGAAATCTCCAAGAACGTGTTCGTTCTCATTACCCATGGCAATAAGTAGATATCTGGGTTTTTCCACATTCGAATAGGTGCGCACCGACCACGTGTGATGAGTTGTCTGCGGTACCAATGGGTAAACGGCAACATCCCAGTGTTGAAATTCTAACGGGAGCCATTTCTTGCTGTCCAGAATACGCATAAGACCCAGTTCGGTTTTCACGCTGGGTTCAAAGTACTTTACCACCCATCTGATTTTCGATATTTTCACATTGATTTGCTACCTGTATTTGTAATCCCTTGTGTATTATACCTGTATATTAATTCAAAAATTTGAAACTTTAAATGATTATATCTAATAAACGAATTAAGTTATATTAAAAATTCAAATGCCATTTACTATTAAATTAAAAACTCAAACATTTTATTAAATTAAAAATATGTGTTACCATTTAAAAAAACAAAGTTGACCCCCTTCCAAGGCATAAGGGATGAATTTAAAAAGTATTACATAGTTAAAAATTCAAGAATAATGTGTAACTAAAGATAATGGAAAAAAAATGTCTAAATTATTATTATTCTGCAAGTAATTGAGTGGGTTATGATAAAAAAATCACCCTGTACATTAAGAATTTTATTAACTAGTAGTGAAGATTTTTTTTTTTTAATGATAGTATTTAATTCAAAAAAGAACTTTAAAAAATTGCTTTAGGATATTTATTTGAGAAAACTTGGTTGAAAATAGTAAGAAATATCTAATCTTAGCATAAATTGGATTAAGAGTAATTTTTGAGAAATTCAAATGAATTTCTGCTTATACACTCAAAACACAATTATATTTAAAAAGAATCATTATTGATTATACCACGTAAAGTAATTATTAATTATAAAATAAATGTTTAGATTAATATTTCCTTTATTATTATTTATNAATAATACAATAATAGTACATTTACAATATTTCATCTAAACTGTACCATTACAATATATTTTTTTTGCGTGTAAAAGCTAATATAATAATATTAGCAATTGATCTATTAATCTATAGCAATTGAGTATAGTTGCATAATTATAAATACATAATTTTTGTAAATTAGTAAAGATAATTGCTCTATGATAATGTTGACAGAGAGGATATAGCTTATTTTGAGAAAAAAAACTTTTAACAATTTAACATAAGGCCATAATATTACTTAAATTGTTAGGTTAGATATTTTGAGTATTACATTGTATATAGGAGTAAAAGTTAATATGAATAATAAGACAAATTTGATATTTAAAATCAATATATTATATTATGAAGATGTTATATTGGTATATTTACTAATATGATTTTAATTTTCCTATAATTATATTATGATAAAAATATTCCAGTCCTCTTCAGGTATCGAAGGATACCAAGACGTAATGTATTCAAATTCTTCAGGAAAAAAAGTATCTTTGCGAAAGTTTATATATTCTATAAAATTTGTGCAGGAATTAAATGATATAAATTCATTAGACGTAGTCTTATTATAACTCCACGCTTTATTGTTTAAAGAATTTAAGCTGTTTTGATATGCAAATTCCCACGGTTCATTAGAAACAGTTCTCTTTCTTTATGTTATCAAATTATATACATTTAAAGAGCATTAATCTGCAAAATCTACATTGACCTTTTATAAGTATTAAAAAAATTAAGTCATTTCAATATTTTCTTTAGAATGGGAAATTTGTAATGTTTGAAAGATTGTTTTGCTATACATTCCCTATTAAGTTTTCTCTTTTATTCTAACTTTCCATCATCAGATGGCATGTTAGGTCTAAATATATCATTATACCATTCCTCGTGTTAAATGCCACATTGGATGCTAAATTTTTAGCTATGTCATCAGCTTAAAACAATATAGGTTTTGATTATAATGAATAAAACATAAATAAGAATTAGTTGCCATTTAATTTAACACTTTATTTGTCAAACAACTACCAAACATTGTGTAATTATCACTTTTCTACCTAAAAAAAACTTTTTTCAGAAACCAAAACGAAACAAAAGATTGTACAGAAAAGATCGTTGTTTAAAATTCAAAAAGCCTTATCTGAAAAATTTTACATACATAGTAATTATAAAAAAATATTAAATAGGAGAGATAGTTGATAGAATTGTTATGAAAATAAAATATTAAAATATCTATAAAGAATGCATTTACACTTTAACTATATTTCCTAAAACACTCATTAACACAATATTATATTTATTCAGTTTTTCTTTCCATACACGTTCACTAACGTTACTTTAGTGATAATCAAGTCATCTTCCTAATAATAAATAAATTGTGGAAGCTATGGAATTATCAAAAACTATTAAATAACTGTTGGAATTGAGTAACTATTATTTTCATACCTAGGCTGGAGGAGACGTACAACCAAGAAATGTTAAATGATAAATATTTTTATACTAGCGCTTTATAACCAGTTTATATTTTTGTCATATAGAATTCCCTTGTGTAATAGATAAGATTTTCAAAAAAAAAAAATATATATATATAAGAAATATATAAGTACTTTTATAAAAAAAAAATAATTTTGATTCATCTATTTTTCAAAAAGTTGTGCTGTTCTAAGTAAAAAAGTTTTAGCAAAATGTTGAAATTTTAAATAAAACAAAATATATTTATGAAAAATAATGCATAAAAAAAAATGACAAAGAAAATTTTTATTTTATTTTATAATTTTTAAGATATTGAAGAAGCGTATATAAGGATAATAAACATAATTTTGAAACATTGTATATAATATCTTCTAAGTTTTCGTTGATTTTCTCTTTATAACATCTGATCGATGCTTATATAATTCATCTATATAACTTATGAAATATCTTACAACTTCATAGTCAGTCTTTTTTGAATTTACTTTGATATTCCTCAAAAACATATCTGCATTATTTAAACTGTAATGTTCAACAGTTGCAACATCTGTTGGATCATGAGGTGGTTTTTTAATCTTAGGCAATTCTTCTCCAAACAAAAACATTGGTTCAGTAGCAAAGCAATCAGCAGTTAAACAAAGTTCAGTTAAAATTTGATGTAAGTCTGATATTAATCTTGTAAAGAAGTTTTTATTGTAGTTTAGAAAATTGTTCATGTCGTTTAAACCATTCTTATATTTCAAAATAACGTCGATGTAACTATTAATATGAAATATAATTCTGATGATGTCATCATCATTTTTTACACATGTCAATTGTGAAAATTCATGTAATTTAGATATCCACTGTTTTGCGAGTGTTTGTATAAATTCAAACTTTTGACATTGCAAATACAAAAAATGTTTCCAAGTCAGTCTTAACATAATAATTTTTAAAGTATTGAAAAACACCTTGTAATAAACTTTAATGGATTGTAGTTTATCGGATGACCAATTTAATACATGCGCTTCAATAAACGCTGTTTCTATATTTTTTTCTTTGTTCCACGTCACATAAACGTAGTAATCATTTTTGAAATGTCTCATCGGAACTAATAATGGTCCTAAGGATCTTATAAAAATACTTGGTTTTGAGAATCGATTGTAGTTTATCACCAATTGATTTTGATTTATAGTTATGAAGTTTTTCATATTTTCATAATTTTTCAATAATAAACTATCTAAAAAATGTTTATCTTCATTTGAGTATTCTTTAAAATTATCGCCGGCTGTATAAATAATATTATACTTATTACAATTTTTATTATCATCCTCCATTTTTGCAATTATGAATTCATGAGTTTTTACAATATCCACAAACTCTTTATCATTTCTATTAAGTATTCGTCTAACTTTAGGTGAACTTAAATACCATGTTATAGAATGTGAGTAAATATTTATTAACCACAAGGTACCAATATTATTTTTATCGATATCATATATTGTACTAATTTGTTTTTTTACATTTTCGTTGTACATACTTATGTTGGAAATCACAGTAGACAGCATGTAATCATCACGCGTTAGCATAATTTTTGTTATTTTCATGTGAGTCAAAGCACCAAACAAATAAAAACATTTTAAATGTTTTGGATTATATGATAATTTCCAATATTCTATAGCGGTTGTTTTAATACAACTGAATACTAAAATTATAACTACATATAACCATAATTTAATTATTGCTAAAAATTTAAAAGACAACATTTTTACAATGTGATTACGTTCAAATATTCAAACATTTTTATATCAAGTTTTTAACTTAAATAATAGGTACGCCCAAAATATCTAAATGTAATTTTTATAAATTAATATTTAAATAAATTTTCACGAATAAAAATTATTTACTAAAATACGTGGGAGTATAAACTGTTGTAATGTTTACAAAACCATATATTTTTGTGTTTGTTAATCTACAAAATTAGTTTGTTTAATTTACTTATATATAAATAATACATTTTATGTCTTTGCTTATTATTTTTTTTACTAGGCTTCACCTAGCTGAGCCACTGATTACGATAGGAGTACTCGGCTATGCTAGACGCGATATGAGTTTAGTAAAAAAAGTATAACTCCAAAAGCATTTTACCAGCAAAATAATTCCAACTGTAAATTAAATGATAATTAAAAAAATAATATGACTACAAGACATTTAGGTGTATTCACAATTATGCTTAAAAATAACCTATTAATTTTTTATTTCTCCAAAATTGTAATAAATTGTCTTCGTGGATGTCGAATAATTTATTTTTTTATTCTTCAAACTCCTTTTTATATTTAAAGGAACTTTCCAAAATTTCTCATTCCAATAAAAGTGTATTTTTTTTATTATTTGACCTATTTAGATTTTCTTGTTGTGAATCACTATAAATTTCATTAGTTTCCTCTGATTGAATTTTATATAATTTCATATCAATTTCATCTAAAATTCTTAATTTGTCAATTTTAAAAAACATTTTTAACAATTTGAATTTCTCCGATATAAATACAGCTATTTCATGTTCAAAGTCCGACTGGAATGTGGAGTACATGATATCTAATCCTTTCTTACCTATTAATTTCAGTATAATCGAAATGTTGACATCGTAATTAATATGATTGCATTCTTGCAGTTCTGTAAATTTAATTAAATATTTTTTTAATAACTCCTGATACAAAATAACTTTGTGAATAATAGGACGTTTATCAGATTCAATTTCGTTAGATGCTGCTTTAAATGGTTCTAAAAATTCAACGAGTTTTTTAGTAACTCTTCGTTAATATTTTTTACACGACTAAATGTTTGTCCATGAATTTCAATAATTTCTGGAAGTGCACGTTATACAGATTGCAACATTAATAATCGTCTGTTCCATCTACTCTCTACTTCTTGTACAAGTCCATTTCTAAGTTCACGATTACTTCTACTGCTTTTCATATACCTAACTAAATGTTTACATTCATTCATTAATGTTATAACAGATTCCAGAGGTTTTTTACCGTCTTTACCTTCATTATTCAAAAATTTATCATAGAATAAATTTCTTAAAACTGTGTTAAGCAAATGTGCACAGCAATTGAGATGCTAATTAGTCAGTAATAAATATTATATTAAACATTATTAGACATTAGTTTCATTTGCAGCTTCAGTTATATGAAAAAAAAAAAAATTGTATAAAAAACATTTTATATTTTCACCAGTTTTGGTTTCATTTGAAAGAAAACTGGCCTTTATGTAGGTTTTATATATAAGCAACAATATTTAACGCATTTTTCATTAGCTTCGTCTTTTAAATGTTTTGGTATATCAATTTTTACTTTATTTGTCGAAACGGATTCCAAACGATTATTCAAAACTGAAATGTTTTTTTTAACTATAATTATATTTATTTTGTGTATAATTGATTGGTTTATGATAAATTAATCACTTTGTATAGGCTATACACAAAATTTAATAACTCAAAAATATCCTTCATCGACTCTAATAATTTTTTTTTATGTATAAAATTCAACATATTTAGTTTATACATACAGAGTGTATGTATTTCTTAACTATGCCTTTGAAATTATTATTGTTGATCATTTTTTTTACATTAACAATACATTGTTGAGCAATTTTTAACGAAAAATTAATTTTGTGTTACCTTTTCGAATGTCAAATGACAACCCCAATTTTTTTGATACCAACAAGTTTATTTAATCGAAAAAAAATATTGTCTTTCAAATGGGGTAATTAAATGATGATAGATTGTTAATTATTACGATATATTTGAATAAGCTTTCATTTACAATTTTGAGTAAAAGTCATTATTTCATTTAACCTAAATGACTTTTTTGGTTCAACAAGTTGTTATAACCATAATATTTTACATCGATAAATATTTTACGAGTAACGTTAAATTTTATAGCAAAACAAAATAAAGATCAATCAATATAAAGTTATACAAAACAAAATAATTTTCTATCTCTTCTAAAAACCATATGTGCTTGTTTTTATTATACTATTTATTTTTTAATTAATTAAAAATGTATTTTATAAGAAAAAATACTTACAGGCAGATAGAAAACAACAGTCGTTTTTAGTTTATGATAAAGAAATAAAGCTAGATGATGTTGGTTAATATTTTTCAAACTTTATTTTATTCAACATAATTTACAAAGACTTATAAATATAATATTGTTATCAACACATGGGTAATTCTTTAAAAACACTGTTTTAAGTCTAAACTGAATTAAAATAATATTGTATATATTAAATGAGCCATAATATTCTATATATATCTAGACATAATTATAGTCAATAAAAATCAGTTTATACCAAAATGTACAGAAAAACTATAAAATAATATAATACACTAAACGATTGACAGTTGTAAGAATGCAATACATTATCCACCATGATTTTAAATCACATTTTAGGATTCTTGGAAATTCTATTAGTACGTGGGTCATTATTTCAAACAATTCAGCTTTTATTAATTATATTAATTTTTAGCGAATGTTAACATCGTTCATTATATTAAAAACATTATGAACCTATTACGATAAAAATTATGATTTTTTTTTATTTTATCACGTGCGTATTTCTACTAAAAACAATAATGCCCAAAGCAACAAAGCGACAATTTACAGTTAATGTACAATAATTTATAATACAAATATATTTACAATACTATACAGAGTGAATGATTCACTATGCCTCACAAATTATCTCTGAAAATATAAGAGTTTTTTTTTCTTTATGAAATATTATGTTTCTATCTTGGTCTGCTCAGTGAGTAATATTACATTTCTATGATCATCCATTATGCTTTAAATCAGTATCCACTTTCAATTTTCAAATTGTAACCCTATTTTTTTATATAATCAGATTAGATATAGTTTTAAAAAATTGCTCGCAAAAAAATGTTTTTATTTTATTCAATTATCAGCAAGCTATGATTCATTAAATTTTAGGGGACGTGAGTATCACTCACGTTGATTTATAAAGACGCGCAAATTTTACGTCACGGTACTATACACCGATAGTTCTTATCTGTACACTAAATATTAATATTACTGTATTTACCAGTTTTATTTGTTAAATCCATTAAACTTTAAATAGTGATATATCGTTTAGAATTTGATAAAATTGATTTTTTTTTTTGAGAATTTTATTTTTTATGCTTAGCAAAATTAATAAAAAAAAAAAACCGGGTTGCTATTTCAAAAACAAAATTGATATTTGAGGGTTAAGGGATAAAGATGGAATCTTTATTTTTCTTATCAATTAGCTCAACAAAGATTTATAACAAATAAAATAATTACATGTATGATAATACTAATATTTTTAGAGAAAATTTGTGAGGCATAGTTAGTTAATAACCCTGTACAGCTATTAAATGTGGACCATTATCTCAATTTAAAGAAGTGCCGAGACCGGGCCCTTGAATTTTAATAAAAGACCAGGACCTGGTCTTTTGATCGATGAACTTTTTAAGGGGCCGTAAAAAAAGACCGTTAATTTTTAACTACAGACCAACTAGGACCCGCCCTATTTATTATTTGAAATATAGGACCGAACTAGATCGAACCGTGGTCTAATCCTGTTCAGTCCGGACCGGTTCAAACCGAACTATGCAGAGCTCTACCCTAGAATGTATAAATAATGATAAAAATATTTATTTTTTAAATACTTTTAATAATTTCAAGATTCTTTTTAAGAAAAGGTCTGTAATGTGAAATCAACACTATTTATTTTAAAGATTATCTAACTAGAAAAAGAAATGGTTAATAATAATTTTTTACTCCAGAAATCGTCAGTTTTTTAAATGTTTTAAAAATGTTAACTGTAGAAAGAGCGGTTGTAACTATTTTTATCTTTAGGCATACTACTTACAAAATCAAATTAAATGAATGGCATCAAAATAAATAATTGAATTAAAAAAAAATTGTTTATAATTGTTAACAGTTATTTAATATAAACCTTCTTGTTTTTAATCACAGCCTTTTATACAAATAAAATAGCCTAATTTTCCTTCAGTGATTGTATTATATGGGATTCATTTTCATTAAAAATCCAGAATCATCTAACAATTTGGAAGGTCGACCATTTGTCGTAACCAATTGTACATACAATGGTACTAAAAATATAACTACGTATAACCATAAATTAATTATTACTGAAAATATCAAAGAAAACATTTTTACAATGTAACTGCAATTAAAATGTATTTATACATTATTTTTAGTTTAAATAAAATTTACGCCTATAATATTTAAGTATAATTTATTGGAATTATCTTTAACATAGTCATTACTTCGATCGATTTCCGAATGAGAATTATTTACTAAAATACATAGTTCTTGAATATACACTGTTATAATATATACAAAAACATATGTTTTGTGTTTGCTTGTATACATAATTCGCTCTTAACAGAAAATACGCTCACTAATGACACGACTTGCGTCGCAAAAATGTGGTCGACACTGGTTTTGAGGGTAGAGACCCGTGGGCCGTTTATTAAATGAGCGACAACAGATTATGTTAACAAAAATAAAACAAACCGAAAAGATAAACACAGTAATAATAATCTTCGCATAATATCGCGGCACTTTCGCTGGCGTCGACGACGCGATGTTCGGCGTAATCCTTGGACGGCAAAATGGTTAGCAGCGTTGTAGGCGACGGTGCGCGGGTGCGGTTCGGCTGTCGACGTTGTCGCTTTCACAGCGGGAGGAAGACTCTCGCACCATTTGCGGCGGGTCGTCGTCGGCCGTGCGGCATTTGCTGGACTTTGCACCGTAGCGTATAACACGCGGTGTTGGTCAGTCAAATACTCATAGTAGGGCGACGGCTGATAAAGGTGGCACGAGTCGCGGGGCATCGTGTATAACGAAGCGACGCGGGCCGTGTCAAATACCCCCCCGCCAAGCCGCCGGTCTACTTAATGACGGCCGGGAAGGCAATCGCGTATAGCAGTGAATGCCGCCAAACTCACGTTGTCTGTGGGTGATCTAAGGGGTGAGTGCGTGTAATCCATTTCCATGGGTTTCTCCGCTGGTCGCTGTTTCACCGCTGCTAATTTGGATGATGCTACCGGTACTGTATTGTTGCTGCTGCTGTGCTGTTGCTACCGTTTTTGTTATTGCCGCTACTGTGTTGTTGCTGCCGTTATTGTTGTTGACGCTACTGTGTTGTTTCTGCTGTTATTGTTGTTGCCGCTACTTTGTTGTTAAAAACGATGTCTCCTCCATGTTTGGTGCTAAGGGTGGTGATGTCAGCCTCTATTCTCGGGCTGGCACTAGTAAAGTGAGTGATGTGTATTCAATAAGCGTTGTGCGTCCCACTGTGTCATTAAAACGTAGCGCAGTTTTTCACTATCTGTGATGATTGTTCGCGCGTGTGTGGGTCGCCTGCTATAACTAGTGTTGATAGATCTACATCGGGTAGCGTGTGTCGAGTACTCGCTTTCCAATAAGCTGTAGTGCGTCGCGTCGCGCCCAAGTGAATTGTACCTGCAGCGTAGTCCCAGGAGACTTCCTGTTCTGTTAGAAAGTCGTGTCCCAGAAGTACGTCACAATACAAATTCTCTATGATAACAGCTGTGAACTTTACTTGTAGATCCGCAATTTTTGTTATAAAGGTAGCTGTGCCAGCCGTGTCTGTTGTGTGGCCGTCAGCTAACCTAACTGGGGGTGTTTGTCCGTTGTGTACAATTCCAAATTTGTGAGCTGTTGCTCGAGTGGTATACGATTTTTGCGCTCGAGAGTCAAGTAAGGCCGTCACAAAGCCG